AGAGAGAGAGAGAGAGAGAGAGAGAGAGAGAGAGAGAGAGAGAGAGAGAGAGAGAGTTCTTCTTCCTCTTCTTCTAAGTCCACCATCTCTTCTTCCCCTCTCACCACCTGACTTCTCAGTATCAGCAGACTACTACAGAGAGAGAGTCGTGACTTGAGACTTGACGACATTGGATCTAGACTTAGACATTTGGGATTCATACATTTTGACGAGGGACCATTTGGGCTGTGCCGAAGACTTGGTGTTGACGACATTCCCATCTTCCCCTCCTCTTCGTCTAACCCCTTCCTCTTCGTCTGTGTATGATAGGGCTGGTGCAGTCTTCCTGTGTGAAGCGCCAGACCCCACTCACACCGTGTAACGATGATGATGATGTATGTTCGGGGCTGCATTGCAATATTGATTGTTCGGATCATTGGTATCTAAGTCTTCCGCTGTGCTATCTTATACTTTGTATTGAGAGGTCGGTTCTTGTTCTGGTCTGCACGTTACAGTATGCAACAGTAACACTGTTTCCAGATATTTTCAAAAAACAAAAGGACTTAGTAACTGCGGCTTGAGTAGCCTAGCATTAGGTTTGTAGGCTAGCAGTTATCCATGGTTTTCTTAAAAATTCTTCTGATTTTTTTTCGCAGTTCTTAGATTGTTCTTATTTGAAATTCTTATGTTGTTCTTAGTCAAAAAAAAAAAAAAAAAAAAAAATAAAAAAAAATTGGCTCCAACCCTGGTGAGTGGGAGAAGAAGGATGGATATCAAGCGTCCTACTAGTGTGGGGGTCAGCTGGTAGGATGGTAATAGTGTACAGCAGCAGGAGAGATGGTGGCTCTGCTGCAGTAAGACTTGCCGGAGTAAGGTAATGAGGATTGAGGGGGGTCTTAGTCTTTTCATGATTTTTTGCCTATCTTCAGTAGTTTGTTTGTATCTCTTAGTTCTTAGCCAAAGCCGGGTGGTGGCCCCGGTACTACAAACTCTCAAGTTTTTCAAATTCTCATGTAATTTTCTATATGGGACGCTGGGCCCAGTTCCCAGCACGTGTTGCTCCCCACGAATAGATTGGAGCTTTGTTCCCATACAAAAAAAAAACAAAAAAAAAGTATCAATTTTTATTATTATTATTTTTTAATACCAACCGGCTGAGACTATTAGTGGTGTTGCTATGAGCATCCACTGCTAACAGCCCAGCTACTGGCTCTGGTCTATTGGTGGGGAGCTGCACCTGCTGGAAAACGGGTCCAGCGTCCCTCATACAAATGATTACTGATAGATGATTGAAAGAAACAGGAAGTATGGAGAAACGGAGTACTACCTTTTCAGCCAGAAATTGGCAGTCAGATGGTCGTGATAATGCTAGCAGTACTACCTCATATAGACCGATCTGATATCATCATCGAAATACTTCTCATCACTCTTCCCTTGCCATTCTTGTGGGAAATTCTAAAGTAGTCTTTTTTTTTTTACAGAATCCAAACTACATAGAAGAAACCTTCAAACCATTTATTCCTGCTCAAGCCCAAACCAGCTCAGAGGAACCAGGCTGAACGAGGAGGGAGGGAAGGGATCTGGGAATTCTATAAGGGGTCGAAGGGGTACAACTTGGTCAACATTTGTCCACTCATGAAAACATAAGTGGTAATCCTTCTGAACTTCTTTCATTCGTCCATCCAGGTTTTTTCTCCTGTCTCTGCTCCATTTAATCTCCCCTATCTTTCCCCCTTGAGGTCCCCCTAGCCAAGCGCCACTGAATTGTTGAATGTGTTGTAAGATTTTTTTTTTAGAGGATAGAAATATAAACCACCAGTACCTCGCTCAGCTATCAAGTCCGAGGTTCGGACTACCAGTAGCCCGATCGTTCCCGAGCCTCGGACAACCGGTAGTACACAACGGAAAAAGAAAAAAAAGAAAAAAGAAAAGAAAAGGAAATCAGACAAGCCCAACGAGAATGAATCTTCCTCGATAACGAGGGAGATTCATTCTCGTAGCAAGCGGTCAACGGGCAAAATGGACAGCAACAGCAGGGACTGAGCCCCCTCGCACTCCCGGACTGGTATGAAGAATTACAGAAACCCTAGGACATGGACACCTCTACCTCAGTTTCGCTGCATGAGCAACGACAGGACCTTCCACAGGAAATGGAAGTAGAGGTGCTCCCACCAATGGCTCCCCCTGCAGAAGTGCCTGGCCCACCACTCCTCTCTGGCAATGAAGAAGTCCAACAGAAAATTGTTTTTTTTACTGAATGGATACTCACGAAAATATTTTCAATGACAGACGAGAGACCGGGGGACACGCTCAATAACAAGCACTGGGGGGAGGCCAAGAGGGTCCTCATGTATAGCCCCAGAGTCTTGGTCACAGTGGAAAAGTATCAGACTATCACCTCCATTGACTGGATGGAAGTGGGAGCAGCCATTGTCCTGGTGGTGAATGAATTCCTGGACAAAATACACAGCTACGCCAATGATCTTTTCGATGGGAAAATCACCCACAAAAACCAATGCCAGGATGACAGAACCTTTGATGAAGCGTTCTTTCATGAGGGCCTGGCCTGGCCCAAGCTGCTCATGCAAGAACTGTGCACCACGCTGCACCCCATTCCACCGATGTCACCTCGGCAGCGGACGGACAACCAGCAACATTTGGCTCTTCAGCATCAACCCACAACCTGCCCTGAGGGTGACCAACTGCACCATGTTACCGCAATGGGAATGAATGATGAGAATGGCCAGCATCACTGGAACACAGGCATACCCGGATTGCCTACCCATCACTCAACACCCACATCCTGCGCCATAGCAAGGCCAGCTACTGCCCCAGCAGGGTGCGAATCCACCACCCCAGCAGTCCGGGTGTTCACCGCCCTTGTCCGGGAATGTTCCTTTGCAGCGGGACAAGTATGCGATTGCTCCTTGCAACCCCCTCCAACACCACCATAGGGCAGTTCAGATCATCCATGATGACGATGAAGACCCTCGCCTTAACCCTCCCCCCAAGAAGTTAAGGCAACTAGTGAGATTGGAGGAAGATGACAACACTCCGGTGGCTATGCCTCCAGGGGTTGTCAACCTCCCCCTCACCAGGATGAAGAAAGGGGGTCAATAGGTGCTGGGCCTCGGGCCGCCACAACAGGACATCCCCCCTTCACAATCAGCATCCCCGGATGACCCAATGCTGGATGGATGGAGGGGTAACCCCTCCACGGCAGTTATCCTTAAAAGACTCAAATATTGGGTCCGGGAGACGGACACGGAAGGTGTATTGGGTGGGGGTGGTGTTGCCAACATCTTTCTCGTTTCCTAAAGGCATTATTCCCATCATATTGCTCATCGACTCAACTTGAAGGATGCGTTTGCGGAAAAATTCGACCTTTGGCTAGTTTACTCACCAGCAACTCATGGACCTTAGCACTTCACGCTGCAGAATCAACATTGTCTGGAACCGGATGCTACACCCCACAAAAAGAGCATACACATGCGTGAGATCAAATGCAGCAGCGGGCAGATCAAACTCAAAAATTGATCGCTTCCTTATCTCAGAGGAATTGGTGGGCACGCAGTCTGTAGCGGACATCATGTCACTCAACCCCTGTAAGTCATTTTACCATTGAGGGGTAGTCCTAAGCCTGTCCTTCCACCACCCAATTGAACGAGGGCTGAGCTTTTATAAATTTAATACGTCTCTATTAAAAATTTTCGCTCTTAAAAGTATGGTCAATGATTTTTGGCTCTATTGGTCCACAAAGAGGGAGACAACCCACTCCATTGTGGATCGGTTTAATGATGGGCTGGCACAACTGCGCGACAAGGTTAAAAAGTTCCCTGTCATCCACGCGAGGGACCGTAAGGCGGTGTTAGATAAATTACTGAATGAACTAGAAAATTGGGACACCAAATTGCAAACCGACCCCTTGGACGATGAAACTTTTAACAAATTACAGACAACCAAGGATCACCTACAAACCTACCTGGACGCCCAGGCAGAAACATGGACAATTCAAGCACGCATAGAAAAACAGGACACGGATGGGACGATGGTCAAATCCTTCTTTAGGAAAGTCAGGGCTAGGGCAAGACAAACTGTGGTGTCATCGTTGAACCACCCCTTTGATCACTCACGCTTCATTGCTGCCAATGCCTATACAATCGTCGATTATGCAGCC